AAATTTCAAAGCAAAACATTTAAACAAAGTGACACTGTTTTGCAATTTCGTAAATTTCTCAAACATCAGCCTGGTGGGCGGTGGCTGGGTCCTTACGTCTGCTTTAGCCCTTCATCTGCTCCAATCTCTTGTTTTGGTTGAAATGTTCATACGAGATATTTAGCCACTTATATCTGTAGCTGGAGGAGGAAGGATGTCCAAACAATCTTCTTATATAAACTTGGATGATCTTCTTTGCTGCTCCTGTGAAAATTGGCAAAGGGGGCTTCTGCAGCAGTGTGTGGGAAGAGCAGTTGGAAACGTTGTTGAAATCTTTCTGCCTCCCATTCACACGGATCACTTGTTCGCACCACGTCATATAACTTCTTGTATTGGTCATTTGGAAATTACTGACATATAGATAAATACAGATCATTTAAACGTTGATATAGATTATTCAGTGCTATGAATCAGGATTTTTTTTTCAATTTATCAATCTCAGATATGTTTGAGGACCAAATGTTCTAAAAGCAAAAGCTATCTGCTATCATGTTGAAAGCTGCTTTAAGATGTGCCTACTGCTAAACCCGGGGAATTTGCTTATTAAGTATATTCTCTTAACGTATATTAAAGTATATTCTCTTACTCAAATATGATGGGAAACTCATGACAAACAGAAACATGCAGGGATTCCTCATACGACGTTGCTCATAACAGAGACAGATTTGGGATAATCGAGATTTTCTTTCATAATAGGCATAATGGTTAAAGAAAATTCGGGACTAGAAAAAGCAGAGGTCACACTCATTACAAAACTGTGTAAAAACTGTGTTGGCAGCACACCTGGATTCCCACCCCTTGGAGGATAAGTATTCAAGGTTATCCTTGGATTCCTAGTGAGTCCCAAACCAGTCTAGGCTACGTAAGACACCCATCTCAAAATGTCAACCACTGATTAACAAGCAAAAGTTCTCTGGAAGTGTATAGAGACACGAGAAAACCCTATAGGGTCTCAGATTTTGCCTGGTCTCATTATGGGCCTTTTGTAGGAATGATGATAGACCATGTTAGAAGGAGGCTTGTCACAGTGGGGTGACAATACACACTCTGGGGTGAGAGATTCAGGACCTTTCTTTTCCTCTGTAATGCTGAACTTTTGTTAACAGAAGCGTATATCACATTTTACAGGCACGGGACATAATGAGCTATTTTTCTTTGGAAATAAAAGCCAGTTTTGCTCATCCAAGTAGAAGATCTAAGTGTGTTTTATTTTGACAGCGTTTTTAGAAGAGTCCAGGGCAGTGTGCACACGGTTTATGTGCTTGTGGAAGTGTTAGTGTAACCTCCCCTCCAGCCACCGAAGAGGAATTTGACTTTACAATATTAACATTTGTGTCTTTATGAGTTGATCCAGTTTACTTTACTAATTGATCCCGTAGATACACTCAGCTCTGCCGTCAAAGATGTCCATAAAACACACATGCCAGGCAAAAGAGAAATACTGTGAAAATTTGGTCCGTCTGTTTCCTGGCTACCATGATGAGGATCTGATGCTGCTTTGCCTCACTGATTCGTCCTAGTTGAATGGTCTTGTGATTTGGGAAAGAAGAGGTGGGTTCCAAGCTACACCCCTCTACTGTTCATGGGTTCTGTGGGGGTTTCTCTGCTCTGCTCCTGCCTTTCCCTGCCCCTACTCTGACTTCCAGTCTTCATGTTCTCTTGGCCCCCAGCATGGGTGCAGTCTGAATTTTAGGGCTCTGTGTTTGCAGCCTGACTCAAAGAGCAGATCCACATTCCTAGATCTTTCTTCTGCTTTACTCCCAAGACCAAGGAGGACTAACAGGCTCTGAACACAGAAGAGCATTGTCCATCAGCCATTGTTCTACTTTATGAGGAAGTATTCAATGAACATGCATAAGCCAGAGATACTCAGAGTTACCAGGGCATACGCTTCTCCATTCCAGCAGAGGAAGGGACTATGTGCATAATTGTTACACATCTTTCTAAAGGGGATGGTTTAAACATGTATTTTCTCTTTATGCATTTCTTGCAAAGTCATTAAAAGTACTTAGAAATTATTTTTTATTGATTTTTATTGAGCTCTATATTTTTTTCTGCTCCTCTCCCTGACTCTTCCCTTGTTCCTTCAACCCTCCCCCAAGGTCCCTATGCTCCCAATTTACTCACGAGATCTTGTCTTTTTCTACTTCCCGTGTAGATTAGATCATGTATGTCTCTCTTAGTGTCCTCATTGTTGTTTAAATTCTCTGGGATTGTGGTTTGTAGGCTGGTTTTATTTGCTTTATGTTTAAAAACCACTTATGAGTGAGTACATGTGATAATTGTTTTTCTGTGTCTGGGTTACCTCACTCAAAATAATTTTGTAGCTCCATCCATTTTCCTGCAAAATTCAACATGTCGTTATTTTCGCTTTAGACACTTTTGGAAAAGCTGTGCTATTCAGCTTTTGTGTGTACATTTGAAAGCAGCTCTGCAAACTCGTAAGTACATGTTTCAGACCTGGACTCTCAGGTCTTACTGCTGGGAGACCTTTCAAGAGTGATAAAATTTCCCATCTACAGGCTCTCAGGCATTTTACCTGTCATTAGGACACTGGGAGAATCCCAAGATGTTCAAATCTGGTGTAGGAGTTCCTTCTGTTTGTGTGTTGCTTTCATTGGTTAATGAATAAAGAAACTGCTTTGGCCTAGTTTAGATAGGGCAGAACTTAGGTAGGCAGGGAAGACAGAACTGAATGCTGGGAAAAAGAAAGATGGAGTAGGAGAGAGACACCATGGACCTGTCAGAGACAGACATGCTGACTCTTTCCTGGTAAGCCATTGCCATGTAGCAATACACAGATTAATAGAAATGGGTTAAACTGAGATGTAAGAGTTAGCCAATAAGAAGTTAGAGCTAATGGGCCATGCAGTGTTTTAATTAATATAGTTTCTGTGTGGTTGTTTTGGGTGTAAGCTAGTTGGGCAACCGGGACGAACAAGCAGGCCCTCTCCTTAAAACACAAATCTTCTTGTGTAATTAGGTTTCTTTCTCATTAAAATTTTTTATCAGCATCATCATCGCCACCACCATCACTATTGATGTTTTTAGTATGTGTGGGTTGGAATGAGGGGGTCTCTGGCACATGTGGAATTCAGATATCAACTTCAAGAAATATGTTCTCTCCTACCATGGTGGATCACAGGTTTGCACTAGGGTCATCACGTTGGCCAGGCTAGAATTTCCATCTGCTGAGCCATCTCACCAGCCCCGGTTCCTTTGTCTTTTAAGTAGAGTTCTGTAATCCTAGGTTGTTTGACACAGAAAAAACATCAATATTTTTAATACACAAATTTGTGCTTTTCTAATAACCAGAATGTGTAGCGTAGCCTCAACGGTAGCACTCGGGCCAATGAGAGACTCTTATTAAAAATACAAGGTACAGAATCAGCTTCTGACCTCCATGTCTGCACATGTGGACACTCACCTCTGCATGTTTCATACACATAACTCACACACACACACACACATACACACACACACACACACACACACACACACACACAATGAACTAGTTTCATTATTGAAATTAGAATATATCTTTTGCAACCAGACCCTGCTCCCAAGATAGGTCATTAGCAATGTGTTTACACAAATAACCATTATTTTATTTGCCTGAGCTCAATCAGGAGGGAGAGAAAGCAGGAGTCTTAACAGCATTAAAATAAAATGCCAAGTGAGCAATGCCTCTTCATCTCTGTCTTAAGAAGTGGTCCGTGCTACCTAATAATCCTCCTCCACTTTAGTTATAAAGACATTGTCAACATCTCCAGACAATTCTAAACTTGTTTTCATGAGTTCTCATTCCCTCCCTGTATTCAACAAATAATTCCAGCGGCAAACACAGAGAGCAACACTAGCAGAGGGGCAGAGAAGCAACCCTAGCAGAGGGGCAGAGAAGCCACTCTGGTTGAAGAATCTCACACATTCTGCTCTAACTTCTTGGCTTCCAAGCTAATGTTTTTGCTTTAAAATTGCATGCCTTTGTGTTGAGACCATAAAATTTTGGGGGAAATCCACCGGGTCTGGGGAGTTGGTTCACGTGGAGTTATCCTGCTCTAGTTTTATTTAGGTTAGGGTTCAAGTAAACTCTAAATTTCCCAGTGAGAGCTGATAGTCTTGATTCTGTTGGCCACTCTTAAAGAATATTATTATTGTCCTCAAAGACAGCAAAGGCCAGGGTGGCACAGTTTAAGCTCTCAGCAAGCTCACGTTGTTTCCAGCTTGTGAAAGCACTGCTTTTGTGGAAGATGAGTCTGATTATAATGGATCTGTAAGCTAGTTTGATTACATTTTAAGATTTATAAATTGGAAAAACGCTCTATTTTCATTCCACTGGGGGAAAAGACCAGTCACTAAATATAAAAGAAAATATTATACATCATTATTAAAATTACTGTATTATACATGTATTTATAAGTCATAAAATATTCTAAATAATTTCTCCTAAACTGCACATTTTCAAAAATATTCTAATGAATGCTCTTGGTATGATGTTTTCCCTCCCCAATACATCTACTTTTGCATCTTTAAAGATAATTATTTTATATGTATAGAGGTTTGTCTGAATGTATGTCTGTGCATGATGTATATGCCTGATGCTCAAGGAGACCAGAAGAGGGCATTGGATTCCCTGGAACTGAACTGGAGTTCTAGACTGTTGTGAGTTGGCATCACGTGGGTGTTGGTAACCGAGCCACAGTTCTCTCTGGAAAAACAGTAAGTGTTCTTAATTGATAAGCCAACGCTTCAGTCCCTGATTTTGTGTCTTGACTCTACATGGCTTTGCCTTTTCAGTCATATTTTATTTACTGTCGTACTAAAGAAATGTTCACATTGCCTAAATACAGGATGATGAGTGAAAATGGTGTTTGGGTGCTCTCAGTCATAAGACACTTCATATTGTAACCTTTTCATTTAATTGTCCTCTCTCTCTCTCTCTCTCTCTCTCTCTGTCTCAGTATACAAGCCCATGTGGGCCACAGCATACATGTGGAGGTCGGAAGACAAACTTGTGGGAATCAGTTCTCTCCTTCTACAAGGTGGGTACCAGGAATTGAATTTAGTATTAATATCCTCTGATTACTGAGCTATGCCATCTACCTGAAATTTAATATTTACAAATTTATTTAAGTGTAATGCCTCATTGCTTAGCAAAATAACTCAATTGTATATATTTTCTATAGTGTCCAGATGATAAACTATGACTCATAGAGATTAATAATCAATTACTAGCTATGTGGTGAAAATGAAAAAAGTCACCAAGTTCACTTGACCTCTTATTGAGTTTTCTTTTCAGGACTACACTGAGGGAGGGATCATTAACTCAGATACTGGAGGCCATCACACTGACATGAATCCTTGATCATAATTGACCTAAATTATTCTGATCTACAGCTGCTGATATGATAATCCAACAAATAATTACTCAACCTCACTTTCTGCTGACTGTGGAGACCCGGCCTTGGAAGGGCTGGAGAGGGAATCTATTACTCAGGGAATAAGGAGAAGTTCTTATTGGGTCGAATTAAAGTGATTCGCTTCCCTTTCTTCCTTAAAGATCTTCTCATTGATTGTGATTTTACACAATCCCCTTGGGAAATTTCTTATAAATGAATAGGTTGATTTTGTGATAAAACTGAGTTTTGCTGCCAGCTTTGACTGTCTTTATCTTCACGGACAAGTTGACTTTCTCTCGGCATTCCATTTCTACCATTTAATCTCTTTTCTTCTTACTTAAGACCAGGTCACTGCCAGGATACAGTTCAGATACAGATACATTCCTCTGCTGGGAGTGCTAGTGAAACTGTAAATGTGCTCAGTGCTGGCATTTCTCAGTAGCGCTTTTGCTTTTATTATTTTATGTGTTATCATTTTATTCAATCTGTTTTATCTATATGCGTATCTGTACAAGATATGTGTGCCTGATTCTGGAGAAGACCACATGAGGACATCTGATTCAATAGAACTGGACTTACAGGAGGTTGCAAATCATTCTATGGGAGCTGGGAATTGAACCTGCATCCTCTGGAAGAGCAGGCGGCGCTCTTAACCACTGAGTCATCTCTTTAGTCCCATCTTAACTTTTCTTTTTTAAAATTCAGACAGGTAATGTTTGAAGAGATGTGTATAATGCATTTCACCTCCACACTCAAAACACTGAGGGGATTTTCAGTTTGAATTATTATATTTTAGCTTTAGCTAATTAAATTATCAAAATTTCATCTAGCCATGAAGCTGGTCTGTTTTTGAGAAGTTTAATGCATGCTTCCTGAAATTGTGAGACCACCCCATGTTTTATTGGCAACGATCATGAAGGTTTGAACCTTTAATCAAACATTGCTATATGCTTGCTTGTTATTGTTTATGCACTAAGCAGGGTTTCCCACAGAAATCTGTTCTGCTCAGATGTAAGGACTGGGCTTCTGCTAATAATATCCATGAGAGTACACACCTCTGTATGTCACGTGTGACCACAGACAGGCGATGAGAGCAATCTGATCATGTGGAGAAAAGCTTCAATATCCTTGGTGTAGAGCCACTCGAGAGTGGCTGAGTTTCCACTTGAGAAAGAGCCTCCTCTCTTGTGCTTGTCCAGTAAAGCCCTTCTCTGCCTCTTGTTGTAGTGAACATCACCAAAAATCTCTTCCAGAAGAATGAGCACAGTCAGACACAAAGCTAATTTCTGTGAGCTCCACGCACTTGAAGTTAATGCCCTCTCTGACTTCTCCACATTCCCAAGTCTTCCTTCTGGATTGGAGTGCAGCTCCAGCAGAACCAGCAGTCTGGAGTCCTTCTCCGCTCTGTGAAAGAGATGTCTGCTCGTCTCTGGAAGGTTGTCATGGCATCTTCAGTTATGACCGTCCAACGTTCATAGAAGTGGAGGCAACGCTGAAGGCAACTTTTTCAGAAATGAATGATACTGGAAGTTTTTTTGCTTTACCACTCATTCCAAGAATTGATAAGCTCTGTCATTAGTGCCAAGAGAACTAAGGCTTTCATTTAATCACAATCAGTTTTGCCTTGTGAGCCAGAGTTTTCTTTTTTTTTGTACAGAAAATATTATTGAAGAATGAACATACACACTTCAAAGACGTAAAGATCACTTTTGCTGTTTCTTTCTATTTCCATTTTACAAAATAGTCTGACATTAACTTCAACGATGCATCAAATGGTGGATACATTTGGGAACACTTTTGCACACCCGAGATGCCTGACATTTGTGTATACGTGTAAAATCCAAGTCAGGATTAAAAGCAGGTATATAATTAAGGAATGATTTGCTGAGTGTGATTGATTCGGTGTTTGTCTCTGCGACGGCACTGAGCATGAGAAAACAAGACAGGCTGAAAGCTATGGATTTCGAGGCTGGTAAAGAGGATTCACTCTATGACAACAAAGAGGCAACAGTGAATCATGTCACCTGGGGTCATGGGATACCGTAGAAGGTGAGAAGGCTCAAGAGAGATGAGGAGAAGCTCAGGCTGACCAAGTGGAGATTCAAGTAGGTTTTTATCTTCTCATAGTGTTCCAAGTGAAGAACATTTACCTCTCCCAGTTCAGTGTTGATAGTTTTTAATTTTTTATAATGATCTCTTTCGATTCCTATGACAAGTATGTAGCATGCATGCATTCCCCTCTCCATGTGAGGAGACTGAGCCTCAGGTAATAAGTGATTTGATTACAGTCACAGAGTTCAAAATTAATGGGATGATTCCTCTGTTCTTTCACAGGTGTGCTGTCTCTATTTGATTCTGTTTGGCCCTATAATCATATCCCATTGCTACAGGCCAGCTCCCAGCTGATTATCCAGTTCACTATTGCGTGAGTCGGGTGCTGAGAACTCCTCTGGACTTTTGACTGATAGAATCAGAGACAGGAATAAATAAAGTGTGTGCATTCAACGGTGTTGATGATGTTTATTGAATATAGGTGATGTATTTGCATCGTTGTGCTAAATTACCTGAGCAAATCACCTTAAGAGAATGGTGATGGTTTTGGCTCATGGTTTCACTGGGTACTCCCCGTCATGGCGGGGTGATATGGCTGCACTCATACTGAGTCACAGATGTGGAAACAGGAACACAAAGCTGCTTGCTTCTGTCTCAGTAGACTGGCAAACACGTGTTGGGGTTGAAAGCAGAAGTAGCTACCAACCTCAGGGCTCTAAGTAAACCCCACCACCTAACAGGCCCATAACCTCTCCAAACAGCAGCCTCAACTGAAGACTAAGTATTCAACCATAGAAACCAGTGTCAGGGCCTCACTTCACATTCAAACCATAAGGTGGGCGGGTTGGTAGGTATAGGATACAACCTTTTTGGTCCCATACTGTGGTACATCAAAGCAAATTCCTGGCCTAGTGTTGTAAGCATATGAGGAAGCTTGGCTACAACTCCAGCTGAATTCAGGATTCAGGAGCTTTACTGCTGTGTTTAAACATCTCAAAAGATACATGTTCAGTTCACCATATAATAAATAGTTCAGGAACTCATAAAATAAATCATACAAACTCCCTGGAGAATCTTTCCAGAATTTCTTTCTTTGTGTGTGTGTTTATGTGTTAGTATATGTAAGTGTACAAGTATGTGGGGTTCATTCTCCACCTTTTAAATAACGCATTTAAAAATTTATTATTATTGTGCGTGTGTGCATGATATGTGTGGGGCCCACATGAGAGAGCACATGTAGAATTAAGGGACAACTCTGCGGAGTTGGTTCTCATCCCCTAACTTTATGTGGGTTCCAGGGGTCAAACTCAGGTTGCCAAATTTCTATTACAGGTGTCTTGTTTACCTCCTGAGCATCTCACCAAGCCTCATCCACCTTATGCTTTGAGACATCCTCTTTGAATCTAGAGCTCACCAATTTGGCTAGATTGGTTGGCCAGCAAGCTCCAGGGACCCAGTTGTTCCTTCTTTCCCAGAAGTAGGCTTTGAGATGTATTCTCTTGCTTTATGTGGGTTCTGAAGAATGGATTTGTCTTATGCTTTCCCAGCTCCAGACTTTCTAAAAGATAAGATTTCTCTATGGTGTAGATGCAAAGGAATAACACAGAGGAAGCACTACCAGGGCCCCTGCACTTGCCTTTCTATTATCACCCTTTATACCTGTTTCTTTTCTTCATATTTAAAACACTAAATGGTGGCAGGAGAGAAGACTCAGTTATTAAGAGCACTGGCTGCTCTTCCAGAGGACCTAGCACCAATAATTGTCTGTAACTTTAATTTCAGGGCATCTGATATCCTCTTCTGGCCTCCATGGCACTAGGCGTGCACATGGTGCACAGACATACATGCATGCAGGAGAAACATCCATGCACATAAATCTAAAAATTAAAACAATATTTTAAAACCACTAACGATGTAATTCATACATTGAAGTTTGGATATTAATAATGGCTTTTCTAGACAGCAAGGTGGTACATAGAGGGGAAGTTTAATGTTCTTCTGCGCCCCCTGCCACACTGACAGGGACATGCTTATCAGAAGGAGATGGCCCCACAAGTCTCCATCACACTAACTTATTGTCTAGACGGAGATGGAGGAGAGGCATCTCATCGTCAATAGACTTGGATTTTCCAGCAGCCTCTCTGTATTCTAGGAGTTCCTGGGTTCTTCCCCACCAAATGTTTAGGGACAGGAGAAGATACTAGACAAATACAAATGAGAAGAGAGAATGCCAGTTTCAGGAGATGGCGCGTTGATGTTCCCCTTCAGAATCAAGATTCAGGATAGGACCCCATAGAAGAGTGAACCAGGGTGCAACCATTTGGTAGATTATGGCGTCTTTAGCCATGAGCTATGATCCCATATAGGAGCATGACTGATTGTGGAAAAACAGCAGCAGGAAAGATTCTGAATGCACAGTGACTAAAAATTATTTCAGAACCAAACACGAGATGAATACAAGGTATTTCTAGTAGTGTGAACCCATGTTACTGCACACACAGCTCAGTGTGAACCCATGTTACTGCGCACACAGATTCATTGCGCATCCATGTTACTGCATACACAGCTCAGTGCATGCCCATGTTACTGCACACACAGCTCAGTGAGCCCCCATGTTACTGCACACACAGCTTCTGTGCATACCCTTGTTACTGCACACATAGGTTCAGGTCAGTCTTTCTTCTAAGTATAGAACAGGCACACCCTACACTGTCTGCGTAGTCTGGCTACACAATGCCAAGGAGCCCGCCTGCAATACCAGCTTAGACTCAAATATCTGGCATGATATGAACTGCAGTGTCTTTTTGCACACCCAACATTTTCTGCTCTTACAGAAGCATAATTGCTTAATTATGAAAACAAAGAGTTTAAAATGTCTCTACCATCACTCCTCAGCATGTAAGAGTCAAATTGCTACATCATGGATTATACTGTGCTAGAATGTTTCATTTAAAAATTGCTGTTTCAGTTGCTGACTTGACTTTTATACCACAAAAATATCATTATTTTACCTTGATATCAGAGCACGGAGTTTCAACTTTTCTAAGATTTCTTCTAATTTTTTAATGATGTATTCTTGTAAAGCAACATTCTCAACATCCATTATTATGAAGTCAAGATGTCGATCAACTCTGAAAAGTATTGAAGATACTCTGTCATATAGTATTATCTAGCCAAACTTTAATTATATATATATGTACACACATACACATACACATATATGTAACCACACTATGTTTGTAAGCACATTTACTTTCCTTTTAAATAGATGGTAAAATAATATGCATATCAAACAATTATTTTCAAATAAATTTATTTATGAATGTTAGAAAATGTTTGATTTGTATAGATATTTTATATACCTATATATTGTATAGATATTTTATATACACTGTCACATGACACTTTCTGGAGGTGGGGCAGAGGTCATAAACGGAAATAGTTTCAGAATCCTCACGGTAATCAGCTGTGGCCAAGGAACATTACAGATGCGCTCTGTATTATAAACCTTTAGAAGCTGGTGAGGAGTGTACTTCAGAGAAGCTGATCATGTGTGCAGCAGGGTTCTGGCATCGCAGACATGACTCAGGCAATGGCACAGCATTGTGCTGTGCATTTCTTTCTCCAGGTGCCCCTGATTTATGTGCTACTTGGGTCAAACCCTAGACTTCATGCATAGTAGACAAGTACTCTGCCAACTGAGCCACATCTCCAGTGCTTGATGGAAGTTTTTGAATATTGACATTTTTTTCTGCAGATTTGATTTTGCTAAAGGCCAAATTGGTACTAACAGTCATCATTGGTTTACTGAGATATTGTCAAAGTGTGAGGTTTATTTGAAATGGACATGTCTCCAAAGTTTACCTGGTAGTGGTAAAATGTTCACATTTTTAGTTTCTTATGAAATTCTATATATTGCATTTGTATTTCCAGTTCAAGGTATTCCATGAACTGGATACTACACGGGAGGGCTGTACATCCAGATCAGACAGTTTTCTTCTCTGCACCATATGCTTGAGTGTGGTAATTTAAATTTTTGGAACTGATTGGTTCTTGAAGAGTGACTTTAGAGAACTCCACACCCCATCACAGAGATATTTGCATACTCATGGTTTTTGATGCTGTATTCACTATAGTAAAGAAATGGTGTCAGCTTAATTGTTCATTAACAAATGAGTGGATAATGGAAATATGGTATATATAAAAATGGAATATTATTCAGCACTAAAGAAAAATGAAGTCACAAAATTTTCAGGGCTGTGGATGGACTTCGTATGTATAACATTTAGTGAAGGAGGTCACACAACCTCAGAAAGAAAGAAACACACAGATTCTTCCTCACAAAAGCACACTAGCCTGTAATGCACACATGTATAAAAGGGAAAAGATGCGCATAGCACAACAGTTAGAGGAAAGAACAAAAAAGAGATTTAAAAGATAGAAAACCTATACTGGGGAGTTCACACAGTTTACTTTCAGTAAGTCCCGGGTGATCTCTCAAGTTGTAACATATTTGGTGCAAAATAAGAACTAAAACGGACAGTGTCCACACATGATCTCATGAGGGCTCTTACCTTACTAGAAAGGTAAATTTTACTGACTAGAAACCTAAATTTTAATTAGTGTTTCTATTGACTATTCCTGTAGGCTGTGGTTCTTTGTGAACTGCTGAACTTAGTGTATTTTATTAATAAACAAGAATTTTGGCTATTCGAAACCGAGTGTCAAGATTATTGAAGGATGTTTAAAGTATCAAAATTTTGAGAAATCTGGGCCTCCCTGGACATGCTAATGGCTATAGCTGCCTGTCTCAGGAGTAACCATGCCAGCCATTTGAAAACACACAGACATTTGTTTGTTTTTCACCGAATGTTCTAATTTTAAAATGTGTCATTGTTGATCAATAACTATACTTTTTTTAAAAAAATGATTTTAGAAAAGTGATTGGAATTTTAAAAATGCAACTTGCTTTCCCAATAAAAATCAGCATACCTTCAGGTTGAGCCTAAACAACTGGTGAAGGAGCCGCTATAAAACAAGACTGATGGTGGCTCAAATACCAGCAATTTCCCTTCATTTGGTGATTGTATTTTGATGCCGTTACGTTATACTTATCTTGAGATACGATGTACTGAAGCCCTAGGCCAAATCGAATAGATCAT